CTTATAAGTGCTTTTGTCAAGAGGGGAGAAAAGGGAGTGAGATAACCCCAGCAAAGAAAGAATGTAACTAGATGTTTCAAAGATGTTCAAGTGGGTTCATTAGGGAGCAAGTTCCTAAGAGAAATAAGGATAGGTTGATAACAGATGCCAAGATGGAGGAGTTACTCTTGAAAAAGAAGATGAATATAACCTCTCGGTGGAGTGAAGCAATTAAGAAAGGAAATGTCTATACCAGGGTAACTTGATGAGGGGTTAATGTAGAGGGCAGAGTTTGTGTCAGAAGACATGGAAATGACTGGAGTTCTTGAAGGAAGTGTAGAAGCTAGCAAGTAGAGTCAGTAATAATGCATCAAATAAACAGCACTTTGGGCCTACATGAGATTGGATTGCATTGTTCTCTTCTGCATTTCCTCTCTGTAATTCTGATCAAGACTGATTCTATGACAGAAAAATATTTAGTGGGATAATAATAGAAGTTACTCTTTGATGAATTCTTATATACACCATATGACAGGTTAATGTGCATTAAATGCATTGGATCATTAAATCCTAATCTTTACAGAACTCTACAAAATACATACTATACCCCTATTTAAAAAGCTGATACTTTGGTTTTAATAGTAATGAAATTTAAAAATTAGAGTAAAATGTTTCCTCAGTATTCTACTTTGTTCTAGTAACTCTACTTAAAGAATACATTTGTAAATGTCTTTAAAAAGAGGGACCTCCTATTGCCTTCTAGGAATGATCTCAGTATTGTATAATACCTCTTTGAAAGGAAGAACTTAACCTTTTATAAGTAGAATAGGGAAGATTTATTAGTGATGTCTCATTTACCTAGAGGTAATTACTGGAGTTCAGACCTCAGTGACTTCTATGAATCTGAAACAGTATAAAACTTGGAAGTTAAAAAGCAAAAACAAAAAGCAGAGAGCTTCTCATCAGTGAGTAGGGCTGAAAAAACCCAAGACCTAGTAATCAATTTATAGCCAACAAATAAGGAGATAGTATCTAGTCGAAGAGTGTTGGCAGAGATTTGTGATGAGGGCAACAAGGTTAACACAACAGCAAAGAAGACAGTTGACCAACCAAAGAGAAAAATAAAAATTAGGATATCTCTGCAGAGAAGATAGCATTACTGACCTATTCCAGGGGCTGCTTTGTGAAGACATCGCTGTCACATTTAAGACATTTAAATAGTTACATATAAATTGGGGAACATTTAGTATAAATAGGCTGGTTAGTTATGTTTACTTCTGTAACTTACAGGGTCATTTACCAAGGCAAGAGCAAGCTTTGTTGATGGGGAATCCAGGCACAGCTGGTTGTTGGAGAATTTATGGAAATTTGACTATGAGTAGTGTGGAAGAGTTGAGAGAACATTGCCTTTCAGTCAGGCAGTCTATATTTAAGTCCTAGCTCTGTCTTTGTGACATGTAGTTAGTCACTAATGATCTCTCGGCCTCATATTCAAAAAGGGAATTATATGGTCTTTCAGTGCCAACAGTCTGAGTTCTGATCAATTACAAGTTAAATTGTCACACCAGCATACTTGCCTTTAATCCTGAGAAAGCTCAATAAATAATAGGATTTGTCTGTTCTACCAGTGTTGCTCCTTACGCAAGGTAGTAAGTGGATCCTGACATCAGTGGTAGAATGAATAGATGAATGAGATGTGGTTCGTTTTTACAATTGAAATTGTTTTAACAAAGGTTATTAAAGATTGGACATGAAAGATACTAGATAAGGCATGAAAGAAACTAGATTGTGGACAACTGTTAGCTTTAGTAAAATTTGAAAAAGTAATTTATTACACTACTAATTACTGACACTTATTTCCCTGGTGAATATAGAAAAAGGCTGTAAAAATATTTTAAGACTTCCTAAGGTTCTAAAAGAATGTTAAATGTTTTGAAGGTTGCTTATTTAAAGTAAGTATCAATCTGGAGTTTAATCTTCAGGCAGCTGTTTGTGTCCACATACTGTTTTTAATTGATGTTAAGTATGAAAGAACTTTACATATAAGAAATGAAATTTAAAGATAATGTATTTCAGATAAAAAGGTGAAAAAAATAGTACATAAAACAATCTTGAGTTTCAGCCTATACAAATTGGGATTTACTAGGATCACGTACTACATTCTATATAGTAGATGTTCTATAGTAGTTTTCCAATTACTATATTTCATCAAAAAGATGTCATCATTGGCAAGGTGCACCTTTATTTCATGTAATTTCTAGAAAGATAATATGCTATCAAGTTCTATTATGATATAATATCATAACAATAGTCTTAGCCTGAGTTACAGATTGGTCTCATTAGTCCCCTTATCTGTTCCTAAGTATTTTATAATTTTGTTAAGTTCTCCTGGCTTTACATTGCTTTATTACATGATAAACAGTTCCTTTGCAAGTCTCTTAGTAGTAAAACAACTTTAATTACTTATAGATACCTTCCTTTCTTAATTTATGTAAAACATTTGGATATAGCTTTGCAAGAAATAAGAAACTGGAATCATTCCTATAGAAATGAGTATTTGTTTCACTGATTTCAAAATTATACCCCTCAGCTCTGTTTCTGGGTTTTTCTGAGTACCCAGTAACTTTTTCCAATTATAATGTATTTTTAAAGGTATTTTAAATATTTAAATTCAGCACATAGTTTCAACATGTACATAAAACTATTGAAATGATGCAGATATGAATAGCCTTGACCAAATTTGCACATGGGCAGGCATTAAAAACAATATCACTGCTGCTTACCTTACCACAGTTTATCAAATGCCATCAGTTGAAAAAGCAAACAAAAATTGCAGAAACTCTTGATTTCAGTGATAGGAAAATTTGAAAAAACCTGAGTCTTAGAATTGATGAAATAAGGTAAATCTTACGTGAGTTGGTGGTGGTCTTAACTATAACCTGGAACTGTTAGTGAATTCAATAATGCCTAAGATTAGAATGTTGGTTTTGTTACTATATTTTAATAACATAAAGTATGAAGAATCATAATCTTTTTCTTTAGCTTAAAACTAGAGATAGATACATCAGTAGCCTGAAAAAGAAATGCCAGAAAGAATCTGAACAAAACAAAGAAAAGCAGAGAAGAATTGAGACCTTGGAAAAGTATCTGGCTGATCTCCCAACTCTAGATGATGTACAGAGTCAGAGTCTAAAGGTAATGTGAAATAAATGATCATCTTTAAATGACATAAAGGCATATTTTTTAAGTAGATTCAGAAATTCTATAATTTTTATTATATAAAGTTTTAGTAGTATTGGCTTATAATAAGTGAAATCTGTATGTTTAGTTGCTGTTTTTAGGATTAACTTTAATTAGAAAGTTTCTGCAGCTAAGCATAAATAGATCTTTCTTGTTAATTAATATGTAGTTACCTTCCTAATGACCCTGTGTGTTAACTCTCACTTAACATTTTACTCTAAAAGGTAGTTTCTAAACCAGTCTGACACTCCTGCCCCATACACACACATGCATGCACCTCAGCTGTAACTTTTCCCAATATTCTCTGGGATCTACCAAGGCTCAACAAAACTTTGACTATATTTCCAAATTTTTAATTTCTTCATTTTTTCTTAGTCTTCCTTAAATTCTTTCCAATACCTTAATCTATGACCTCCATTTAGTCTTCTGACTTTTCTTCTGACCATTTCCATTTTTAACAATACCTTATTCAAACTCTAGTGACTCCTGTCTTCTTAATCTCATTTATAAATCCATTAAACGTACTCTTCAGTCTTTTATCAAAGTCGTTCTAATCATGGTATTTTCAACCTCAGTACTGTTGACGTTTAGGAGCTGATAATTTTTTTAAATTAAAGTATCATTGATATACAGTCTTACATTGGTTTCAAATGTACAACACAGTGGTTCAACAGTTACCCATATTATTAAATCTCCACCCACCTCCCACCCAGTGCAGTCACTGTCTAGCAACATAGAAGAAAGATGTTACAGAACCATTGACTGTATTCTCCATACTGCACTACCATACCCATGACCAAATTATATTGTGATTACAAATCATTGTGCTGCTTTATCCCCCTCCTCCTTAATAACCACTAGTCACTTCACAATGTCTATGAGTCTACTGCTGTTTGTTCCTTCTATTTTGCTTTGTTTTTATATATCACAAATAAATGAAATCATATGGTATTTGTCTTTCTCCACCTGGTGTATTTCACTGGGCATAATACTTTCTAGTATTGTTGCAAATGGCAGGATTTTTCTTTTTATAGCTGAATAATATTCCATATGTATATGTAGTACATCTTCTTTATTCATTTATCTGTGATTGACACCTAGGTTGCTTCCATATCTTGGCTATTACAAATAGTGCAGTGATAAACATAGGGGTGCATATGTCATTTCAAATCAGGGATTTGTTTTCTCTGGGTAAATTCCTAGAAGTTGAACTACTAGATCGAATGGTATTTCTCTTTTAAGTCTTTTGAGGAAGCTCCATACTACTTTCCACAGCAGTTGTACCAATTTCATTCCTACCAATAGTGTAGGAGGGTTCCCATTTCTCTGCATCCTCACCAACATTTGTTATTTCTTGTGTTTTGGATAGTGGGTATTCTATAAATGGTGTGAGGTGATGGATACCATCATGGTTTTGATTTGCATCTCCCTGATGATTAGTGATGTAGAGCATCTTTTCATGTGCCTGTTGACCATTTGTATTTCTTCTTTGGAAAAATGTCTGTTCAGATCCTCCACCCATTTTTTGATCAAGTTATTTGTTTTTTGGTTGTTGAAGAGTATGAGTTGTTCATGTATTTTGGATGTTAACCCCTTATCAGATGAGTTGTTTACAAATATGTTCTCCCATACTTTAGGATGCCTTTTTGTTCTGCTGATGGGGTCATTTGTTCTGCAAAAGCTTTTTAGTTTGATATAGTCCCACTTGTTCATTTTTTATTTTGTTCCCCTCATCCAAGGAGATGTGTCCAGGAAAAAATTGCTCATACTTATATTCAAAAGATTTTTGCCTGTGTTTTCTTCTAAGAGTTTTATGGTCTAATGACTTATCAGGTCTTTGATCCACTTCGAGTTTACTTTTTGTGTATGGAGTTAGACAATAATCATTCTCTTACATGTAGCTGTCCAGTTTTCCCAACACCAGTTGTTGAAGAGGCTGTCTTTTCCCCATTGTATACTCATGGCTCCTTTATCATATTTTAATTGGCCATATATTTGGGCTCTCTATTCTGTTCCATTGATCTATGGGTCTGTTCTTGTGCCAGTACCAAACCCTTTTGATTACTATAGCTTTTTAGTAGTACTTAAAGTCAAGGAGAATAATACCCCCAGCTTTATTCTTTCTCAGGATCTTTTTTGGCTATTTGGGGTCTTTTGGGATTTCATATGAATTTTAGAACTGTTTGTTATAGTTCATTGAAAAATGCTTTTGGTATTTTGACAGAGATTGCATTGAATCTGTAAATATTGCTTTGGGCAGGATGGCTGTTTTGATAATTCTTCTTATGCATTGGGGACTGATAGTGTTTTGTTGAGGGACTATGTCCTGTGCATTCAAGTACTCTTAACAGTATTTCTTACCTCTTTCTACAACTAGATACCAATAGAAGTGACCACCTCCAACAACAAAAAACACATTTTGAAATATCCTGTGGAGGGAAAACTGTTCACAGTTGAGAATCACTGGTCTAATCGTGGAGTGTCATTTTCTACAGATAATAGACATACAGCACATTCTGTAATTATATTAATTTAGAAATTGTAAAGCTAAGGGTAACATCTGGACGGAGCTAAAGAAGGACCACAGGAGTTTGCTTGAGTAGTAACAGAGAAATGTAGTTTTTAAGATATGTGTTCATACTACTTTATACCCATTAGGATGACTAATATAAAAAGAAAAAAAACAAGCATTTGTGACTTTGTGGAGTAATTAAAACCCTTGTGCCTTGTGGGTGGGAATGTAAAATGGTTTAGGAACTATGGAAAACCATATGATGGTTCCTCAAAAAATTAAAAATAAAAAACAGAATTTCCATATCAATTCTGGGTATATACCCAAAATTCTACTTTGTTATATATATTTTACCACAATTAAAAATAAAATTTAAAAAATACCCCCAAATTGAGATCATTCACCTTTTTATGTCTTCTAGAAATTTCTGACCCCATTCTCCTTTTTTCCATAATCTTTCTTCTAGTTCCCTTTACACAAAGGAGCATTATTAAGTACTATACAGAGGGTGGTTTTTACCATAATCCTATTAACCATTGAGAACACAGTAACAATTTCTAGTGGAATACATTTACTATTCCATGTGCTATGAACTTTAAAAAATTGCTCCTTAGCTGCAGGTTCTAGAAGAAAAAAATAAGAATTTGCAAGAGACTTTGATAGATACAGAAGAAAAGCTTGAAGAGATGAAAAAACAGTGTCAAGAGAAAGAGGCACAGCTAATATGCAAGAAAAAAAAAGAAAAGGAGTTGGTAACAACAGTTCAGAGGTAAGACAACCTTCAGTAATTCTGTTGACTAAATTTAAGTTACTCATTTTTTCATAAAGCATTTCGCTTAAAATATGTTAATTTATAGTCAATATTCTATTATTATTCTTCTCTTAAAGATGTACTGTTAAGACCCAGAAGTACTGTGTCACTGAAGCAGGTTATCTCAGTGTGATATAACATTTCAGTGCAACATAGTGACATCTTGCCAAAGGTTTTAGATAAAAATCCTAAAAAAGCCACCAAAAAATTACCAATTGAAAACTAAAAGTATTAACACAAACCCTTTATCTGATAGCTTTGTCAAAAAACAAGATTCTAAATAACAAAAGAGAGACAGCCAAATACTCAGACTGCACTCCTTAATGAGCTAGTCGAAGTGAGGTATTTGACTCCCATTTCACGTTACTACAGAGTAACAGATAAGGACAGTTTTGCCATTTTCTTCCAAGTTTACTCATATTACTTACCACATGGGACTCTTCTCTTTTAAATTAATAGTTAGAATTCAGCAAATATCATTTGTTGGTATTTTTAGGTAATGTATTTAAGCTGAGGAATTAATACTGGATTCCTGAAAAAACTAGAGAGATGTTACATATGCACCTGCCATGTACTCTCTGTTTTGTAAAAATTTAAACCTTAATAAATAATCAACTAAATAGAAAAAACTAAACTGAAGAATAAGACAACAAAGCAACAAAAAACTAAATTTAAGAAATACACTCTTCATGCTTACACGAATTATATATAGTTCAATGTATCCTCATCTTTTTAACCAAATTCATCTGATAGTTCCATGTTAATATTGCTTTACAGCTACATTAACAGTTTTAAATATGCCTAGTCAACTTTTTTTTTTTCCTTGGTTTGAAGTACAGAAAACCTGATTTCTGGGACAATTCAGTCTTCAGTGTTTCTAATTTCAGCTTTAAAAAATTCATGTATGTTTGGTTTTACCTTTTTTTTCCCCTATTTTCTCCTTTCTTGCTGTTTAATTTCCCTTTTTATAACTCCACATCTTATGTCCTATTTTCTAGTCTCAAAGCAACTTCCTTACCTCCAGTAATTCAGCCACATACCTTTTTCTTTTATCTTGTTGATAAAATGAAAAGAGATAATGTATATTCTGTTTTATAGGGCATTATCTTACTGTGCCATTTTGTTAATAGAATTAGGAACACTTGAAAATATTTTCAGTATTTGTTTTGTTCCATTCAGTGTTTTTATATATTTAATACTATTTTATGCCTTCTCTTTTAATAGGTTTTTGGAGAACATTGAGCCTAGTATCCTTGGTTTGGAAAGATTTAGTACAGTCTATTTCAGAATCTATGTTCATTGCTTAACTTTATCTTGGTACTCTGAGGTTATGTTACCCTAGAAAATTTAACATGATTTCAAATAGACGTAAAGAACCAAAGAAAGTCTTCTATAATTCTTCAGTATTTGTATGGCTGTGGTGTCACTTGACTTTGGAGGCTAGGGATGTTATTTCAATTTCCTTAGCTATATGATCCAGTATTCCCTATGTTCCAGAAGAACTTCAGATGTTATGTGACTATGAGTTATATCATTACATTTATCTTTGTTTATATCATATTTCTCATTTCTTGCTTTATAAATACACAAGAACTTTTTGGATTTAAGAATGAGATAAATGTTTTCCATTAGAAAAGAAAATGTAAGTAAAATTTAAGTAAAAAAATGTAAGTAAAAAATAGGGTGATATCCCTAGTAGTGCAATAATTGGTACCTTTGTTATTCAAGATGTTACTTTTCTAAGTGAATATGCTTCATAACATAAACAAAATGAGAATATATACATGAAAGAAGACTCTTGGTATTTTCCATGAGAAATACTAATAGTACATTTTTCCCTCCTCATAGTTCACTTACTTTTTTTTTTTAAATATGAAAGACCTTTTCTACAAAAAGTAGAAAGGTGACGCAAAGATGGACTCTGCCTTCCATGTTTAGATGCAAAGCAGCTTCAGAATGAAAATAATAACCCAAGAGAACAAAATGTGAATGATAATTTTAAAGTGATATATTTTTCTTGGAGTGTTATAAATGCATAGAAGTAGTGTTTTGACACTGAATTGGGAAAAAACTTATTCTGAAATAGAAACAATACATTTTGCACTTTCCGACTGAAAAAGCAAATACTTTAATGACAAATAATATATCACAAAGTGGTATACTACATTCGTAATACATAACAACCTCTCTGGTGCCGTTATTTACTAACACATCAGAAGCCCTTATTGTACTGTCTATTGTTTTTGTCCACAATCTAGATATGGCATTTATTTATTTATTTTTTAGAAGAGAAAGCACAGGATAGCCATAATGCTTGAAGAAAAGTAATGAAAATATCAAAATCTAAATTATAAGAAGTCTGTTTCTTTTAGTACTCTGCAACTCTTGAGCATGATTACAAGCTGAAGTAGAGCTACTCCTACATGTCTTGCTGTTATGTTTTGGTTTTGGTTATTATTGTTAAGGGTATAGTTTCTTTTGACCCAAACATGACTATCCTTCCTTTCTCAGGCCAACACCTTTTTCCCCCTTTATCCTTTTATTCTTAATGTGCCAGAGGGGCTTCCTTTTGTTGTTTCCTCTTCTAAGATGCAACTCTCTGCCATGGATAGCATGAAAAACTGCTAAGTTAAGTAACAAATACATTGGATAGTCACTCTTACTAATGAAAGAAAAATGTAATTCTGCTGGTTTAGGCAACAGCTGTCTTTCCTAATGAACTTTTGCTGAGCTAATAATAATGAAGGGCAAAAGACATGTATCCATATTCTTAATCTCCCTGCCACAGTCATCTTAATCAAGGAACTTTTGTGGGAGAGGGAAAGAACAGGGCTTGTTAGATTAGGGTCATGAGGGACTTCACTAGTGCCTACGGATGTTATAGACTAAGTAGTTCTTGACTCTGTTTTCACATTTGCCATTTCTGCAATCATGATCAGCCTCTATCAGATTTCTTACTTGTATGAAATACAGGTACTCAAACTTAACTACTGTCTGTAGGTCTTGATTATTGCTTGATTAAAAACTATTATAGACCCTAAGTAGGGACTTTAAGTATGTTGAACTCATCTACCAAAATCAGCACAAGGAGCTTATTTTCTTTGTATAATTATCTTTCTAAAATACACAGTTTACAGCAAAAAGTAGAAAAATGCCTTGAAGATGGAATTCGCCTTCCCATGTTAGATGCAAAGCAGCTTCAGAATGAAAATGATAACCTGAGAGAACAAAATGAGAATGCTAATAAGGTCAGTACATATCTTTGATAATAAATGTGAAGTCTACTATATGGATATGTGTGTACATATAAATACACAATTTATAGTTATTTTATTTGATACCTATTTTTGTTAATAGCTTATGGAAATTTTTGTTTGAATATTTTTATCTGGACATAAAATAGCAATTTAAGTAAATTTAAATTAAAGCCAAACTAAGGTAATTACTTCTTGGCAAAAACAAATGACTAAATTATTCAGTCTGTTTCAAAGTTATTTTTATGAACTGCATGAATTAGAGAAAAGTTTTATCAAGTACTAGAGGAATACTTTTGCAGTTTTACATTTGTGTGAAGGAAATCATATGTTGATTTAAAGGATACTTGGTATGAATACTTCTGTAAAAAAAATCACACTGTGATTTTTAAAAAGAAATTCATAATTTTCCCTGTGCTTTTCATTTTCTTGGAATATGGGTACTTTTAAAAAGCAATGGAAAAAATAATTTGATTCAGACTTACGTATTTCCTCTTTTTTAGATAATAGACAGCCAACAAAATGAGATTGATAGAATGATTTTAGAAATTCAGGTAAGGAATGTTTGTGCTTAGCTTAATTTATCTATGTACTAATTTGCTCTTAATGGTTACATAAGCTAAAAAATATTAAAAGATTAATAGCGCTTGAGGTGACGCTGTAAATTCTTTAATATTTATCTTTCAGTGTTTTAGAATGAAAATGCTATTTGGTAAATCAGTTCTTCAAAAAATTGTGAAGATTTTCCTTCTCTGTTCCTTACCTCTTTTTAATTGGGTATAGTCTTTCACTACTACTGATAATCCATTTGGTTAAGGTCAGCAGTGATCTACTAAAGTAGACTGTTTTTAGTCCATATGACTGGACAAGAGCCCCCTCCCTCCTGACAATTCCATATATTATTCTTTCTGTATTATCAAAGTGTAACACTTTGTCTACATATTTGTATCTTTACTCCTATTTAGTTTCTTGAGAATGGAGACTTACGGTAGATCATCTACACATTTAAAGCATATCTGCAAGTGTCTAAGTCTGCATTAGATACAGATACAGTGGAGTTTATGCTATAATTAAGGAGAGAGTTCTGAATGAAGATAACCAGAGGAACAGCATTCCAGGCAAAGAAAGTAACCGGTGCTATGAATGTGCCTGGTATATTCCAGGACTGGCAAGAAGGCTACCAGTCTAGAATGCAGTGATTATTAGTAGAGTGCTTAGAGATGATGGTGGAAAGTAGCCTAGGGTCAGATCACCTAGGGGTATGTCTTTGTATTCTATTCTAAGTATGATGGAAAGCCACTGGACAAGTTTTCTGAATAAATTTTTATTTTTATACTTCCTATTCTTAAAAATGGTAGTGAAAAAGAAAAAAGTCAATGATTTGAGTGTCAGAATTCTAGACAGTCTACTTTGATTGTCTTTTAGCCATAGTAAGTTTACCTCAACGAGGTATGTGGGCTTGCTGCATTGACTTACAGAGGTTTTACTCTTTTATTTGTATTCCTACAGACATAACTTGAGTTATTCTGTAAGCTATTCAAATCACAAGGTGGTTAGGTTCCCTCAGCCGTTATTATCTGACTTACTACAGACCATAAAGAGAATTTCTGTTTCATTTGGTAACATTTTCAGAAGAAAATCCAATGAGTCAGTATTGTCCTTTGGCATTGAAATTTTGGTGAATAAGACTTGTGACACTTTATCTATCATATACTATCACTCACATTATAGATGTTCAGTATGTTTGTGTTAATTTAAATGGACATTTTTCCCATTTGTGGGGACATCAATCAAGTCTTTTAGTCACATTTACATATGTCATTACTTTGCATAAATGAATATGGAGAATAATATGTAATTACATGCCATTCCATTCTTTGATCTTAAAAGCCTGAGTAAACATTCTATTTCTTCAAACTAAAGAATGGAAGTCTAATTAATGAGTTCCCTTTATCCCCAAATATTTGTGTCTAGACAATATACTCATTAATTCTTATCTTTTGAAGCAATTGCTTTTTAGGGGGAGGAGGAGAAAGGGGGTGGCCTAAGCCATTTTGGGATCTAGGTCTGTAGATCTAATATACTGTTTGCTCACAGAGACAGACAGCAAATGTTGATAACTGGCTAACTTAGCTATATTTATCAAGATACTATTTAAATAGAAAATTTTAGATGGAGACAAATATGCCACAGGTAATGAGAAGTATTTTGCTTAACGTTACTTAAATTTGTTGTTTTTTTTGCAACTCACAGCTGAAAAGCTAGTTTTTTTGCTTGCTATTTCATAATATGTGATGAATATAAAAAGATGTGTACTCTGTAAACACCTGAAAATATTGCCATTTCTGAAAAACAGGTGCTAATGATTTCCCTTTTTCCACATCTGCTTATATAAAAAAATGGCCAGCCTTATTCCTATGTAGGTTATGATGTCTTTCTCAGAAGCTATAGCTGTTTTTTAATTTCTTCAAAGTCTTTTGCATAGCCAAAATAACACAAAATACTTTATAATTAAGTATAGCAGGGAACTTCCAACTATTTTTAACATGAATTATACATTTAGCAATCACTGTAGCATTAAATTTATTATAAAATTTCACTGCCATTATAGTTTGCATGTTTTGTTCCTGCATAGTGCCAGAAAATTTTTCCACTTTAGAGTATTTAGTATTACTAGAATTTCTTGTTTCACTGCTTCTTTATGTCCCTGCAAACTATCAAGAAGGGCAAATTTGTTAAGAATTTATTTGCTTGAATTGGAGTATTACATTATCTTGGGTACAAGCAGGTTATTCTTATAGTTTAAATTTTATGACAAAAGAGGAAAACAAAATCCCTTGCTATATTTATTTTATGTCCAATTTATAGGAGATAAAAATAAGACATTGTTACAAAGTGAAAATGCTTTATTTAAAATACAGCTGTAGTTTACTACCTTGCACCAGAAGTCAAATAAATAACTGGTTTAAGTCAGTGGCAAGTTTATTGACTCACAACTTTTAAAGTTGGGTAGAGATCATTATTGCACTAGTTATATTGCATTTGTTTTCAATACAGAAAAAGTAGTACTTCATGTAAAAATCTATGCTGATTTTGAAATTGAGCTTGGTGCTATAAAAGTACAGATTTATCTACTATTTTGTTCATCTGTCAAGATATTGTTAATTGTCATGAATAACTTGTTTTATTCATTGATCTTTTGAAAATATTGCCTTTCTTTGTGTCCATGAAACTAATATAGCTAAACTGGCTTCTTCTCCTACAGGTTTTTCTTCTGTCAATATGCAATATAAAAAGACATTTTGCAGTAGAATGTTCCCCATCATTTCTGTAAACATGGCTGCAGTCAAAATGTGAATGAGTTCTTCATTGGGCATTACTTTCCTTCCTATTTGTTCCTCAAAAGCACATTTTACTTACATAATCCTGTTTTCACTGACATGCTATCATTGTATATTACTACTGTACTCCTTTGGCAGAAGAGATACAGAGTAAAAGAAAATTGTTAGGTTTGTTTTCTCTGACATATTAAAGCGTTTCCTCACTGAAAACACACATTTGAATGGCCTTTCTTAATTGACAGCTATCAGTGAACAACAATATCACAAAAGACAGAATGATATTTAAAAGACATTAAGACTGCTCACTCTTAAAGGCATGTCTGGAATGATTCCAGGCTCAAAACTGTAATGATCTATCCTGTTTTTGGCACTTCAAGAGAAGGTATTTCTAGTCTCAGAAGATTTTATTACAATTTTTAACAAATCTTTTTTAAAGGCTACATCTAGTAGATTTTCTAAGTAGAAATGGTCAGAAAATGGATAAGCTAATAGAGTGTTTTACAGATGGGATATAACTTTTCTTTAATAGAAACATATTAATTGATTCAATAGTTCCTATTATTGGTTGTTGTGTATCTACTATTTTAATGTTGTCCTAATTTGAGTTGTGTCCTGACATGAAGTTCTTTCTTCCTAAAGTTTTTTTAATTTTTAAGAAGTTTTACCTATGTGAAATCACTTAATAATGCATGAAAAACTAAAAATATTCTTAACAGAAATACTAATTTTTGAAGAGCTTAGCAGTCAAAAAACAGTCTTCTATCAAAGGAAAATTAGCTGTTTAAAAAAAGCTCTCTCTCAAGTGTTTGTATTTATGAAGAAAATAATCTTTACATGTAGGCCTATTGTATGCATGTTATAGTTGCTTAATTATAATGTTAGAAAAACATGTAAAAGGTGGATTTAACTTTTGATAAAATCAAAGTTCTTTGTGCCTGAGGTGGGGAATTGCAGGAAGGGAGTCAGCTCACTTGAATCATGAAAGAATATTCTTGAGCCTGTATATGCTGTGAGTGGTCACCAGACTTTATGAATATTCAAATTATTTGGGATGAATTTTAAAACACAGATTTCTGGTGCCATTGTGAACCTAATGAATCAGTATCTCTGGGATGAAGCCTGAAATACGTATTGTTGACAAATTCCCCAGGCAGTTCTTACTTAGAGCCTGACAGCAGTCCTAGTTCTAGAGGCTTTGGGAAGTATAATAATGATACTCAGCATGCTCGTTGGACCAAAAGTGGGAATTGACTGGGTGACTGAGGTTTAAGGGGGGAAAAAAAGTTTAGTTCTGAAATACCTGGATGTGTTCTTGACATATTTAAACTGTTTTGATTTGCCTGATTGCAGATCAGGAGCTGAAATGAAAGGAACCCAAACAGGTTGTTTTTTCCTTTATGTTGTGCTGATTATTTTATAACAGTTTTATTGAGATGTCATTCACATACCCTACAATCACCCTTTTAAAATGTACAATTCAGTAATTTTTAATATACTCGCAGGTATATGGAACCCAGACCATAGTCTATTTTAGAACCTTTTATGACCGCATAAACTCCTTACCTTTAGCTATCACTCCCTTAAACCCCATCCCCTCCCCAGCCATAAGCAATCACTAATCTACTTCTTGTCTTTATGTCTATTCTAGACATTTTTTTATTAAGGTATCATTGATATACACTCTTAAGAAGGTTTCACAAGAAAAACAATGTGGTTATTACATTCACCCTTATTGTCAAATCCCCCACCAATGGACACTCCATTGCAGTCGCTGTCCATCTGTGTAGTAAGATGCCACAGAGTCCCTATTTGTCTTCTCTGAGCTACCCTGTCTAGATATTTTATATAAAGGTAATATGTGGTCTTTTGTGACTACTTCACCGACCACACCAGTTGTTAACCTCTGTTAACTGCCAGCTCTATTGTTTTCAACAGTGCCGTGTGTCATAAATTGCTTCACAGACTGATCTGTTCTAGTTCCTTTGAAGGAATAGTTCCTTAAATTAGTGTTTGAGATTTGTTCTGTTCCCAGGGTGTGTTTCCCAGTTGTCTCTTTTACTGTTTCTTTCTGGGAGCCTACAGTTTAGCCTATATCTCCAATGACTCTAACAGTATCCTCCCAAATGCCTTTCACCACAACCTCTACTGTTTTTAAGAGTGCCCTTAGGTTTGAACTTCACAGTCTGTTGCAAATGAATTCAGATCCTCGTGAT